TTAATATAACTTTCTTGAAATGGCTGTTCTTAACTCTGAAAATTGTTTATAAAATGCTTCTTAATTATATGAAAATTTTTGTAAAATCTTTTCTGTTTTCTTGAAATAGAAAGACTATTACTAACTACAGTAATTCTATAGAAACAATTTATTAAATATCTTTTCTTAGATGTTGCTAACAAAAATGCTTCTGACTGAAATCCTATTGGATGTGACAGATGAAGAGATTTATTATATAGCCAAAGATGCACACAGGAAAGCAACGAAAGGTATACTGTTGGGTCTTCTGGATTTTTATTTTGTTGGGAGCATTTTAGATTTGATAGCTCTTTTGGATTTTTTGTTGTTGTTGTTGCCCTTGTTGAATTATTATCAGGCATTTGAATATTCTTGCATGTATGAACTATTTGGGAATGGTTATAAATATTTAGATACTTTATTAAATTTATTCACTTTTTTTTCTATCATCTGAGCTACTTGAGCAGAAGTTTTAGCAATCGTTCTATAAAATGTAATGTGGAAACGTCTTGATGTTCCCTTTATTTCATCTGACTTTTTTTAATAGATGAAATAGTACTTAGTGCATTAACTTCCTAATAATACCTCTTTTGATCAATGAATTGAAATAGGAACTTTTCGTTTTATTTTCGCTACTTACCAGTTAAAATTCTTAAAGAAGTAGGCAATATTTTAACTTATATTGAAAACAAAAGTTATGGCCACCCCAGAAATAAAAATTTATATATTAGTCAACATTTTTCCTCATTATATATCAATTTCAGCTCACAGCAAAATTATAATTTCAAAGCCAGACAATGCTACTGGTTTAAAATGAATGTTATGCTTTTATGATGTTTCTTGTCTCCCCAAAAAGCAGCAATAGTGGTAGATTTAAAAATACCATAGACTCACATGACTATGAAATCGTGGCTATTTGTGTTAACATGTTGTTCCTGTTGTTGATGTGATACAAAGCTCCTGCAAAACAGCTGGCACAGTCCAGTGCACTGGCTTCCCTCACTGGACTTGGTAAGTGTTCTCCTTATTTTTGAGAGGGCCTTAAAGGGAAAAGCACAATTACCTTGTTTCTCTACGTGTTGTTTGGAAACTGTGCTATATGTGTTCCATTTGTAAAACTCAGTTTATAGGATTATACTAGCCTCTACAAGATTTGCCTTTTTCTTTTTTAAAAAACACTAAAACATTCACAGTGGGAATATTGTAAATGTGATGACTAATCCATAGTTTATTGGGGCATATTGTAAGAGAAAACTTCCACATTAATTGCTCCAGTATATCAGTATATGTATATACATAGTTTGTCTTAATAAGTTAGCCATAATAATGTCTAAACTCACTTTTAGAATTACTGCATACATTTTGTAGGAAAGACACAATTCACATAATGCTCTTAATGAGGTTTTATTGACAGTTGCAGTAAGTGAAATTTTAACACAGAGGAAAGGGTTTATGTTATCCTAGTGTACAGTCGTAAATTGTTCCTACCTTGCCGTTTGCATGATATACAGTCAGGGCTGTAAAAGCTTGAATTTGCCTTTCTCACATCCTTCATTTCAAGTAAGTCTTTTGTTTAAGATCAAGAGAAATGGGCAGAGCCAAACACCCTTGTGATTTTTTTAATTTGTTTTTTGTTATGGTTACTATTTAGATCACTTCAGGGTGGGGAGTAGTTTCAGCACAGTACCATTTCTGAGCTAGCGATAATTTTATAATAATATTATTTAGGAAAAATGCTTAGCATACTCTCTTGGATTTCCAGGCTGTTGGGGGGTGGGGGGGAGTATAACTCCAGAAATATTTTCAGAGTTACCATAACTTTTGTAGGGTATTTGGTATAGTCTCCTAAGTTGTGATATTGGTTAGTGGACAGTAAAACAAAACCGTTATTCTGATTCTTTTGTGGTAAGAAATAATGAAATACTTCAGAGAATAAAATAAGATACTAAGTGATCATTTATAAAGTATTTATGCTTCTCCCCACCCTGAATTTTTCCAAGAAAAGGCAATTAAATGCACTTTCTTCTCGGACCTTAAAAAGTTGTTAGTGCATAGTATAATTTTTCTGTATGATAGACTAGGCTTTATGCACACAGGTGGACTAGGTGGATATGGATCAGGAGACAGTGAAGATGAGAGGAGCGACAGAGGTTCTGAGTCATCTGATACTGACGATGAAGAATTACGGCACCGAATCCGACAAAAACAAGAGGCATTTTGGAGAAAAGAAAAAGAACAACAGCTGTTACATGATAAACAGATGGAAGGTATTTCTTTTCAGCTTAACTTAGTTTTTGGCTACTTGCTGTAAAGTACTTCTGTTTTATTTTTAACCAACCCAAAAACATCCACATTATATTGAAGCCAAGGTTTTTTTAGCTCACTTGTAAGTTTTCAGGAAATCTAAAGTCATGATTGATTAATGAATTTTAGTATTAATAAGGTCATTTATAGAAAGTATATTTATATAGCAGTTATTCATCCCAGTGATTATATGCCAAGAGGAATTCTGGTGGCTTAATGGTAAGAAATTGCACTGCCAAACCAAAGATACATAGTTCAAATCCACCAGTTGCTCCACCCAGTGCTGGCTTACTGCCTCTGAAAACCCTCTAGAGGGTCAGTTTTTAGTTAGTTCTGATTCAGTGGTACACAACAACAATGTATGCCAAGAAAGGAGCTCTGGTAGCATGATTTGACAGGTTCTATTGCTGACCAAAAGCTTAGCAGTGCAAATTACCACTTACTTCATGGGAAAATAAGCAGTCTTATTAAACCTCTAATTTGATAGAGAATTGATATGAGTCTGAATTAACTCGGCAGCGGTAGGTGGGTTTGCCAAAAAGGAGGCCTAGTGGTTAAAACCATCACAGCTAACCAAAAGGTCAGCCATTTGAACCCACTAGCTACTTCTCATAGTCTTGGAAACACTATGGGAGCACTTTTACTCTTGAGTCATGATGAGTAAGAATGGACTTCATGGCAATGGGTAATATGTGGAAATATTTGGTATAATTTATTTCTTGTTAAAATTCTTAAATTGAAAAAGAAGACTTTGCAATGGGAAAATTAATATTTGTAAGATGATTGAGAAGGCAGTACTTTTAAGTTTTAGATGATAATTTTTAAGAATAATAAACGATAATAGATAGTAGAAAGGTGACTTTTTTTGAAGTTTTTCACTTGGACTTTATATGAATGAAATTCTTGACAATGTTTACATAGTGTTACTGTTGTTGTTGTTGTTAAGTGCCGTCGAGTCACAGGTGACTCATAGCAACCCTATGAAGGAGAGTCCTCAACACTTGGGTGTCTTTCATCCTCTCTCAGGATAGTGTTCCTAGAGATAATGAAAATGTTCATTTTTAATTTCTTTGAAATTAAAACCCTCTTGGACATTCAAAGTTGATTATTTTTGATACATTTTTATTTTTATAAATGAGCTTTTCAAAAGCAGGTAGCTAAAATAATTACTAATCTTCAACCTGCTTTAGTTAGGTAAAAAGGAAATCTTTTCTTAAATGCTTATCATTCATCTGTACTTTTTGATACTCTATTGCTTCCCTGGTTAGGACTATAGTCACTAGCTCTCTGTATTTATTGTACATATGAAATGTAGCAAACCCAATTTGAGATGTGTTGTAAGTGTAAAATACACTTGATTTTGAAAGATTAATAAGAAAAACCACAAAAAGTAAAATTTTTTTAATCTGTTAGTAACATGTAAAATACAAAACAGTATATGGTTTAGTGAAATAATACTACTTAATTCATCTCTTTGATTTTTTTTTAACATGGCTATCCTAGAAAAACCTTTTTTTAAAAAAAAATTGTGTGTGTGTGTGTGTGTGTGTATACCGTCAAATTAGATCTGACTGGTACAGTTGGAGATTGTCCCTCCCTTCTCCAGAAGAGCATCTGGTGTATTCAGACCACACACCTCTGTGTTTAAAGTGTAGCTTCTTGCCATTAGGCCACCAGAGCTCACCTAGAAAAACATTTTTTATGTGCTTCAAATTCTGTTTGTTGATTGGTCCTTGATAAATTGTTAAGACCCAATTGTTTGAAATTTTGTGATACAGTTTTCATTGTAGAGTGTACTTATCTTGGTATTTTTGTCTTTTTTTATTTCAGAAGAAAAGCAGCAAACAGAAAGGGTTACAAAAGAGATGAATGAATTCATCCATAGAGAACAAAATAGTTTTCTGCTAGATGCAAGAGAAGCAG